CCCCATCCGCGAACATGAAAAAAAAAAATCTCGACGACCGATCTCGCCCTTTCAATCCGAGGAACGAGAAGAAAACGGGATCGATCCCGTAAACAAACGCGACCGAGAGACCTTTTCGCTCTCGGAACGAAAGGGAATCCTCGACAGATTCGGATTAAGTCAGGAGAGAAAGGAGATTCATGAGAATCTCTTGATTACTCCGCGCTGTATCGATATTAAATAGAATCCCCAGCGGATCGGCGACACCCTTTCCTCCAAATTACTAATTAATTAATTTATGCCCCCCTGAATTCACTCTCGCTCCCACTTCATGTTGTCTCCATGATTAATGAGCCCCTTTCCCCCGCGACACGGGGCCGTGGAGCCGCGTTCCGGAGCCGCGCTCCGGCCCCGGGAAGACGGCCAGGCCCGGCTGGACCTATTGTCTGTCGGACCAGAGGCAGTCGCAGGCAGAGCTTTTTAAATCTTTTTTACAGGGTTTTAATTTTGGCGTTTTGAGTTTCTTGCGGTTCCCAGAACCACGGCGACTCTCGGTTCGTGTTAGAACGATTAATCTTCGAGGAAAGGTTGATAAGAGACTTTCGGGGACCTGAAAACACTCGACTGGCTCCCTGCTGGCCCCCCACTGGCTCCCCACTGGCCCCCAGGCATCGCTAGCGCCGCCCCGAGATTCTTAAATCTCAAATCCACTCTTGGAATTAAAAGAAATGACTCTTAACCTCGATTCCCCCGAGCATCTAGTCAGTTGTTATTCCCGATGCCCCCACCCCCCACCCCCCACCCCCCAACCCCCAACCCCCAACCCCCTCCCTCCTAACTCTCACGAAAAACAGAGGGACAGGCAAGGTAAGAAAAGCGGGTAATTTCCCGCCCTATTGTTTTCTCCTTGGTCTCGCTCCTCCCCATTGTGTCGAGCGCCAGGGCATAATCCCCCCTATTATGCGCTCCATTTCATCCAATGACGGCGGAGGATCCCTCGCAAGTCTTCTTGCTCTCGCAAGTCTTCCTCCTTTCCCGATCTCTCCTCGGCGGGACCGAACTTTCGGGGCTTCTCGTGGAACCGGGCCACGGCAACGGACTCCTTCGCTGCCATAAAATAATATAAGGAATTCTTACATATGAAAATACTTTGAGATGAATCGCGATGACCCCCCCTCGAAAAGGAATTCCCCAAGAACGACACGCCTGTCTATTCCCCCCGTTCCACCTTCACGGCGGAAAATTCCGGAGGAGATGATGATCTCAGTGTCTCGTGCCAGATCACGCCTCATTTCCTCGTCGTTGGCTTTGTCCCCCGGTTGCTTTGTTTTTTTTTTTTTGGTCTCTCTCTCTCAGAGTGAGTAGAGAGAGAGAGAGAGAGAGTTCTTTTTGAATTCCATCCAGTCGCATACTCAGAGGAGATTCGGGGAAATGATTCCGGAAGGAAGAAAGCGCTTTGTTGGGGGGGGGGGGGGGGGGGGGAGGGGGGGGGGGAGTAATGTTTTTTTTTGTGTGGGAATCATTATCACACACTCTCGGGGTCAATTAAATCTAATATTTGAGGGGCGAAGTGATGCGTGCATCTTCCATCGTCTGTCACGTGACTTGGGTCTGTCGTGACCATGCCCGTCGTGTGACAAGCATGCCAAGGACAACGGTTGAACGATTCGGTGGCATGCACCGTGTCTGGTTGGGATTTCGTTTCATTTCGGCCTTTGGTCTCGGTCGGGGAGTCTTGAAAACACTTGAGGGATGTTTCGACGACTTTTGACCGCTGTTTGTCGGCCGTCGAGGAACTTCTGTCGCTCGATCGGACCGAGAAAGTCGTTATGCTCGGCAAACATGTGCCGATGAAGAATGCCATCCGACTTTGAACCAGCCGTGTGGTTCCTCTAGCGTCTCGTGCAACTTTTTGCCGAGTTCCTCGCTCTTTAAAGAACATGGCGTTCGGTGATTAATTAAATGAGTTACAAAGAGCAAAATTGTATTCGATTTTCGCACGTGTTTGATGAGTCGTTTTGCTCTTTCGGGCTATTTGTAACGGTAACTATTCACAACAGTCAAAATTCTTCCATGTGGCCGAAAGCTAAGAATGCAGAACCTCTGTTCTGTTACTTTTCAGGGCTCTCTGGAGGGTCATCCATAGGTGGGATGGAGAGGGGAGGATGGAGAGGGGAGGATGGAGAGGGGAGGATGGAGAGGGGAGGATGGAGAGGGGAGGATGGAGGGGGGAGGATGGAGGAAAAAGGCGCAATAAGAAGGCAAGTTATGCACAGGCTTCGTTCAAAAACGTCGTATGCTGTAAGGATGACAGACTGGGATGATGTGAAGCTGCTATCTTTAGATTAATCTCATTTTTCTCGTATGCTATGAGGACGAGCTCAACTACTTCGCAGATTTTTAGCTATTTTTAAGCGCCAACAGCACTATTACTAATTTATTTCTCGAAGAGCGCTGTCAGGCAATAGGCCTATCGACGCAAGGAAGCACTTTACCTTTTCTCGAGCGTTAATGTTATTAGATTTCCGGTGACGTCCGTTGTCCCGAATCGATCACGGATGCATCGATCCCGGAATCACAATTCCCATCGCCGGTTTCGAACAAAAGGATCGATGGACTCCACAGTCCATCTTCTTCGGTTCTCGCTGATGGTGCCATGAAAGGCGAAACGAAAACGACCGACGAGATGCAGGAGCACCTGGGTGCCCTGGGCAGGATTTCCGTCGTCTTGGGGCTCTACCCGGCCTCCGCGAAGCCGATTCACGTTCTGTACTGCGGTCTCTTCATCCTGGTCGACCTGGCGGCTTCGTCTTACACCGTGGGTCAGATGCTGGCCGAGGGGTCTCCGTACGAGAGGGATATGTCGATCGCCGAGTTGGTGAGAGCGTCGTCCACGGCCGTTTGGATCTTCCTCTTCGTCCTTCTCAGCCTCCAGAATTTGATCCGAATCCCGAAATGGCGCCGACTCTGGTCCTCGTTCCGCGATCTCGACCGAGCTCTCGAGCCGAAGAGGAATCTCGTTTCCAAGCGGGTGTCTCGGTTCATTTTGGTTTACCTCGGCGTCATCGTGATCCTGAAAGTCGCCTTCGTCGTCGTGGGCGACGTGATGAAGTCGACCCCGCTCACCGCGACGTCCTTGGTCTTCAAATACAGCCAGATCGTGGCGAGTCCCAAAGTCTACGAGGTCCCGGTCGCGGTCTGGATGTTCCTCACTCTCTACGTCTTGGGGGCTCTCGAGGAACTGGACGGTCGGCTGGGCTCACCTCACGGGAAGGAGATGGGGGCGCTGGCGTCTGGATATCGCTATGCGATCGAGGCCCTGAGGGAGGTCAACGGGCACTTTCAGTCCAACGTCACCGCTTCGCTCTTCCTCGACGTTCTACACTTGATTTTCAGCTTCTACGAAGCGGTCACAAAGCCGGAGGCGTCGTGGGTGGCGGCGGGGGAAGTCCTCATGCTCGTCGTCTCGGGCTTCCAGGTCTGGGTCGTCTGCTTCGTCGGGCAGCGGTTCGCGGATCAGGTGAGGACCCGACGTGCCTTTCGGTTTATCGGCCTCCTGCATTGTCTAAAGATGGTTCTGCTTGGCTGGTGGGACTTACCATAGCTATGAAAAAAAAGCTTGGGTTCGTCTCGTTTTCCATCAGTACGGACCGTCGACGACAGCTATTGAATTTTGAATCATGACAAATGGAGACGTCCTCTGCGGGGAGCCTTTAGGTCTACTATAATTTATTTATATTATAATTTCATCATTCTTTTCCAATCTTTCCTCGTAGTTTTTAACGGCACATTCTTTTGTTTATTCAATATTGCAAGCCGCTGTTTCACGAAATGTTCATTCATTCGCATATTTTTTTCTTTTTCAGAGAGAAGAGGCGATCGGGAACTTGATGTATTTGGACGTGGAGAAACTAAACGACAACGATTATGATCAGGTGACGAATTCATATCGACCTTTCTTTTCCCTCGATGGTTTCCCAATAATTAAGGATTAATCGACGTTCCACAGATCGTGATGCTGTCCCAATCCGTGACGGCCCATCACGTGACCTTGAGCCCAGGCGGCCTATTTTCCTTCTCCAAGTCTCTCTTCTTATCCGTGAGCCTTTCCGCCCCGATTTCGTTTTATCCGACCGTTATTTTATCAAGGTGAACGTGGTCCTCGATTGCAGATCTCTGCCACGGCAGTGACATACTGGGTGATACTGTTCCAGTCCAACATGGACTGGAACGGCTGACGGCAATTCAGACGGCGTGACTGTGCGGGAAGTCCGGATGCTGCATCTTCCACAGATCTATTTCGTCCCCGTTTCTAATCCTCCCGTCTGTATTCATAAATTCAGGAAAGTGGGTGGGAAATTGCTCCCTATACTATACCACCCATCTACCCATCGTGCATCTATGGTTGCCCGTCTTCAATATCAAACGAGTTTGCGTCGCATGCTGTCCACGAAGACTGAGAACGGAGGAAGAGGAACGTTGTGACTGAATGGAAACACTCGCTGACTTCACGCTTCGTTCGCGCCAGAACGACTGAAGTGACTGGCAAATGAACTTGTTTCACCCTCAACACGGGCCTAATTGTTTTCTATCAGGGCAGATATGCCCTCGTCTCCATGAATACTACATAGAAATTATAGTTCATTGAGTAAAAGGTGGTACGAATTAATTTTCAAGCCACTTTAGAAGCACATTGACGCCTCTTACAGCTCTTGGGAAAATGTATAGCGAGTAGTGACGTCACCAAAGGTACATACCCTAATTGCATCCGCTAGATCGCGTGAAGAACATGCATAGTTTAGTCCCCTTTTTACCATTAACCATGATTGCTTAGTATTTAACAATAAAGGGGCTAGTAGCACTTAGCAACGAAATATCGAGTTTTATTTATTGCTGGTTGCACGTTGGAGCAGAAGACGCGAAGCTCGCGCAGCAGACGACACGCTGTCTTCTTTAGCAAGTTTTCGTGACGTCACAAGACGCCCTCAGCGTACGTGGCGAGGTCTCATTCATTCCGTCTCCTTCTACTACCATGGCTTGTGTGGTCTCTCTCCTATGTGGCCTCTTCCTCTTCTCGGTATCATGGGCCGGGAATGCTTCGGATATTTTGACTCCAGGTAAAAACCGTTTGTATGCCTTGGTCTGTTCTCAGCGGGTGTATGTTATGGACCTTGATTTATATCATAACAGAAAAGATCGAGGAATTCAAGGTCAGAGTGTCCGAATTGCTGAGCAGGCAGAAGGAACAGATCCTGAAGACTCACCTTCCCCATTTCCTTAATGCTGACCAGTCCAGAGACAGAAGACAATCCAAGTTTGCACTTCGACCAATTAATGATGCTGCAGGTCAGATCCAGATTCATGCTTCAAACTCACAAAAAGGCGGGATTGATATTTGCATATTGGATCAAAGTTACATTTACTGACATCAAGGCCATAATTCAATGGCCATGAAGGGTACTTCAAAGGAACCAGGAATGCTAATAGCGTTGAATACAACTAGATAGGTAAGTAAATAACCTTGACACATGAGAAAATAAAGTGAAAAATGAAATGTATATTTCACAATTCAGTGGTGAATTCAGTTTCAGGCATTCTTTGTCTGCTTCCAGGGTAGTAATCAGATGCATTCAATAGATATATCGTGCATGGGACAAAGGTGTAAACTTGTTCAGCCATGACAACAACCAACTTTCGATGCCATTACAGATCTTCACAGCATAGCACTTCTTTCATTACTGATCATTTCAACAATGACATTATGAAGATATCGTATTGCACAGACTTTGGACTCTATGCACAGCATGGATGTAAAAGTAAAATGTGCCCTAATATCATGGTGCAAATGGTTCATCCAGGGAAGTGCACATTATATTGGATTCCCAAAGGAGACAACAGTTTCTTTAATTCAATCAAATTTACAGCATGACATGTATAGATCTTTAATATAACCTTCCAAGAATAATGTTGAGAGGTCTACTGTGACTTTTCTTCATATTCTGTCAACTTTTCAAACTAGGCCACAGGCCTAGTTTTAAAATTTGACAGAATATGAAGTTGCCACAGGCCTTCAATTGAAGGAATAATAACCTTCACTTTCCTGGATGTGTTAAACAGAAAACAGCTTAAGCATAATGAAATGCATACTATATAGGAGATATCTAATAAATACTTATCATTGCTGAGCAGTGTTCACCGGGCAGGTTTCTTTTCACAGATCGATTTTCACAAAAATTCAATAGTCATCAGCTTGGAACAGAAATACACCCTTGGTATATCAATGAAAAGGAATGTTTGTACCAAAACGGTAATTTTTTTTTCTCCCTGACCTAGCATTATCCTGCTTTGTCATACAACATTTAATATTGAAAAGTGCAAGATCTTTATATATTTCTTGATCAGATGGGCAGGTCAGACAGTAAATAATTTCAGACACTGTTCTCTTGTGCTGTCCCCATGTATCTTGGCCTCAAGATGAGTTATTGAATCCATTTTACAACCAAGTAATCAAAGTTTTCTTATAAAAATAAAGAAAGCACCTTCACAAAATTCCAGATCCAAATCTTTCAAAGAACTTTATATTGCGTACTTCAGAACTACTTTGAGTCACTTTTGGGTGAGGACAATTGGACAGAATATGTGAGCTAATGTGAGTCATGCATTACCTGCATATTTAAGTACTACTCCTGTCTACACAGCTGAATTTAGGCTTGCTCAGATCCATACTAAATGCATTTCTTAATTGAGTAATCACCACAATGTGATAACTTCTAGGTTCATAAGCAGACATTGACAGAAAGCCTGTGAAAATTCATCACACACAAAGCAAGTAGAAAATAGCTAGTCTTTGGAATTATTCCCAAGCCAATACTGTGGTTTTTGGGGAAGCCACATAGGACAGGTACATTCACATCATGGCTGGTACAAAACCACAGGAATTCTCTGACCTTGGGGTCAAAGGCACTGACATCTGAACAGAAACAAACATATTTGGCATTTTTTCAACAAAGTCCAAGTAAGTTTGACATTCTCAATGAAAAAAAAGACAATGGAAAATATAGGTTTTAAAGTGATTTGTGAATTTAAATGCTTCCCCTGAAGATTTTTTCTTTTGAAAATATTCCTGCAAAACTAGATAAGTAATCATGAATGCTGGCAGACCCTCCCATCAATGCCAAAGTAATCCCTGAACACATAGCCAGAGTGATGCTCTTCCAGGTACTTGAGGAATTCTCCCATATCCATATGACAGTCCCTTCCTAACTGCTTTCCACCTGTGAAGCATATTTCTTCAAATCCAAGAAATCTCCTGTGTGATTCCACTTCATCCTCATTCTCTAGCTTCACCTCCTCTCGTTTCTTGCACATAATTTTCTTCCAATTCATGTGCTTCACCTAAGACAGGCAAAGGAAAGTAACATCAGCTACATACAATCTAAGAGGAAGGTACATATGATGAACCAGAGGGGATATGAGGAGCTACAAACCCTGCTCCAAAAGTCAGCACAATCTTCAGAAAGTCCTTCAACACATATGATGCCTGGTTTGCCTGGAAGGCAAAATCCGGTTAACTTGCTCTCCCTTGCAATTTCCAAAATGGTCCTCCTCTTGATTTTGTTGTAGATGTGATGAGAATAGATCCAATATCTTGTGAATAGGAGGTCCACTTCCTTCTTTGGCTCTGTATTTGGTTGCTCCACCTGCTCATGTATGAAATATTCCTCACCATGGTCCATGAGCCACTGTACAGCCAGTCCAATGCAGATTTCTCCTCTTTCCAAGGTACTGATATAGTTCATCAGCCCTTCATTTAGTTCATGTTGTTTGTCTCTCTTCAGATTCTCTGACCTCACAAACACATCAGGTTCACAATCTGGATACTCAAGTGGTAGACCCACTATTGACTCCAGCTTCCCCTGTTTGATAAGAATCAATATAAAAATGTAATAAGTAATAATAAAAAATAAATTTGAATTCAAACCTACATCTACATGCCCAATGGATTAACACTACATGACTTTTGTAGACTAGTGGAGAGACTAGTCTCTTAAGACATTTCAATTTTTGCATGAGAACAGCACAAGTGCTGTGTGTATTACACTCCCTTTGCCCTATCCAAGATGTGGATTTCTGATCAGAATTATACAGGATTTCTGATCAGAATTATACAGAATTATACATACTTGCAGGAGTACAATAAACTTTGTAATGGAAAATCTTAAGTAGGAACATTAAGCAAAGTTTCAAGCTCATAGGATTCAACAATGAAGAGAAAACTTTTTGAATGCCTGAAGAATGAGGGGAGAGGGTAGCATCACTAACATCAGTTATTAATATACATCTGGATGCATCAGCTTGATGCATCAATTGACATCATCCATAAGGAATGGTTGCTTTTTCAATTCAAGCATCCATATCCTAATAATCTCTTCCTGCAAGACTAAAAAATTCTCTAGAAATGCATCAGTAATGTTGGTCCTTGCTGGTACTTTCCATTGTGAAAATGGAAACCAAGATATCACTCAATATCCCAGCCATACCTCTGTTTTTTCATCTATCTTCCTTGTATTATTCCATGATTCATATCATTCACATTAGTCATTGATCAATGGAACTTAAACGGATTAAGGGGCTAATGATATTTGCTATAACTAGAGCTAGAAGTTTTACATCTGAGTTTGACACTTTTTTCAAATGAATCCAACATTGTGAATTAAAGCCTATGCCTTCATACACACATACCAGGTTGGACAGATAAAGACCTGATATACAGATTGAAGTCACCAGGGATGTGTCAACCTGTAAAACTATGGGAATTATAATTTTTTTTTACCATCTCTATTGTCCAATTTAGCCATTGAAATAGAGCTAAGTTATAACTTCTCTCCAAGTCCAGAGTGATTGAGTGATATGCATATACAGTACATGTGTAGCAACTATTAACCCTTTCAGTCCTGGTGGGACTCGGGAGTCCTGCATTTCCATATATTTTTATAGGGCTACATAGGAATGCATGACCTTGCAACCATGGCAGGATTCTGAGTCCCTGAACTAAACAAGTTCACCGCATGTTGTCAAGTTCACAGCGGTCCACAGTAATATAAAACTGCTGTATTTCCTCTGGCACTTCAAAAATGGTATTATTTATTTTTAGCTAAAACATTTATTTTCCAGTAAATTTTATCTGTTTTTGCAAGCTTGATAATGGAAAGCAGTACCAAAATACTGGGTAACATATGACATAAAATAGAGATACAAGTACTAGCTGAACTTATTAAATAGCATGATTTTATTAATTTATTTAATTTCTTCAAGTGATTGAAATAAATGTTTAATTTTACTTGAAACCATTTTAACTAGAGCTGTCACAATAGATCAATGCATCGATACCACTATTAATGGTTGGAGGTATTGATTGTTTTTTCGACCATCGTGATGTATTGGCAAATGAATTTAAAGGGACAAGGTCCCATTGGATTGAGGCGAGTACGGTACAATACAGTCCATCCGGGTGGGGAAAGGAGGAGGCAGCATGACTCGCATGGGCTTGCAATTTCTGGAAATGCTGGGACAGACTATGAAAGAAGGGAAGGGGGGGGGGGAAAAAAAAACATGTTGGATTGGAGACAGGAGGTGGGAAAGGAGAGAGATGGAAGACCGAAAATATTTTATCTTCAGTTTCAATCTTCAGCTTGATCTCATCAGATGTATACTGTGGAAGAGGACTGTTCTTATACTCTCTTGATTTCAAAACCTACATTGGTTAATCCCCCTCTCTATATTCCTGTCTCTCAAGTATGCAGGCTTAAGTTTTTGTTATTATTTTCAACTTGCTCTGGAGCACTTTACCTCTTTACCTAGGGTGAACCCAAGTGAATTTTTTACATGGATGTTGCTTATTCTATGGCTGTACTGATATTTCGTCATCCTCTGGTATGACAGAATCTACAGGTTTTTCATCTGTCGGTGCCGATTTCCAAAGAATATCATATAGAACGAAGAAAAATAATTTAAAAAATTATGTGAACAGGTTTGGCAACTGATTCTCCATAGCAATAAAAAAAAATAATGGCTGTCCTGATGGGACAATCAATGAATGGACATCATATTCGATAGTTGGAGGAGTGATAGGTGTTATTACTCCCTGCGAAGGTCAAACCTTCTCCTTGCACACAAGCATGAGATTATGGAAGCCAGATAGAGGTCTGTGCTCTGGTCAAGGGAAGACACAATGGAAGACAAAACTTTGCCCGATTGCAGCAAGAAAAGATTGAATCCCTCCCCCCCCCAATGCATCAATAGTTCAGGTAGATGCATCGATGTTTTGAAAACTGCTTTCATGACAGCCCTAATTTTAACCATTATGTGGACTTAAATCTCTAGCATAAGTGCTGACAGCCAAATTTTTTCTTTGAGGCTCGTAAACACTCATTAACTGAGCAGTGAAAATGTTCTAAAAAGAAACTGTTGACAGTGAAACTATTATTGATGCATCAGAGCATTTTTCCAAAAAGTTGCCATATAGCATTTGTACTTTCAGGCTATTGAAAAATACATTCTGCGACACAGCATTTATGCCTTTGTCCGATAAAGATTAAAAGCATTTATGTTACATAAGTATTGTTGAAGCCCAAAGAGTATGATACTTGTTTTTTTTTTTTTTTTCATGTCTAGAATATAATTCAGGACTGAAAAGGCTAAGGAGATTTGAGTTTTTCTGGAGACACCCAAACTTTACTGATGAAAGCAAAAATATATTACTGGTTGACTGTACGTCAAATGTGTGTATCTACATTCACCTATCTGCTCATTTTTTTCTGGGCCAAGGTGAGTCTTACAATGCACAGAGGAAGTATCCAAGATTAGTACATTGACATTTAGAGATGGGATTTTTTTTGTGCTTTGGTTTTACTACCAAAACATGCTAGAGCTTGCACTGCAGTATAAATGCCATACCTGGTTACTTTGGACCCATGTCCCCTCCCATAAAAGTCAGGCTCAATTCCAACTGTACTACTTACCTGCCCTTAGGTGAATATTTTCAGCTCACATTCTTGTATATGAAGCAGGTGCTTTCTTGGAAAATAGTGCTCATCTCCAGAACTGCCCTGGGTCCATTACCATCCAGGGTAGGATAGCTACTATTCTCTTCAAATCATTATTGGTTGCTCTCTCTCTTGAGTGCAAGAGCTGGTACCTGATGGTTTAAAACTTGCATGTCAATACCAAATGTATTGGATTTGACCTCTGCATGCCTCCCACTTTTTAATATAGTCTTTCATTTCAACAGAGTCTTGAAAAGTTAGGAAGCTCAATGGTTGGGTGTTGTATGAAGAAGAACCCTGTGGGATATGGGAGCTGGCTCCCCAAAATGCTATGCATGGGGTTTTGCCCTGGCTATGGCCAGTAACTTTTTAAAAAGGTAAAAGAAAAATTGTAGAGTAACTCCTTTGTTAGTCCTACAATGACATAGGCTGTACCATAAACCTCCTGTAATGAATAGAGGAAGGCTAAGCTGCAAATGTTAAACTTTACAACAATTGGTTTTGTTGGAACAGTAAGTGTCATTGCTGTCTCCATATCTTCCCAGTAAATGATGTAATCACTTTGGGGCTCAATACTTGGACTAATGTTTCATCAGCTCTTTTGGGCCTTCACTAAACTCAAACTAACAATAGAAGAAGTGATAAACACAGACCAAGTGAACTGCATTCCTATGTTTGGGCCAAAAGAGTGAGAATGCTAACCTATTTAGGGGAATGGTGGATCAGTTGGGTTAGAAAATAATTGCCGTCAAAGGCCACAACCCTTTTCCAGGCCACAATTACTTTCTAACCCAACTGACCCATCATTCTCAAAACAGGTTGAGTTTCTCACTCTTTGGCCTTTGGCACAGAACCAATGCTAACAGCAGCTCTGACAGGATGGGATGAGGAGTTGAAGTACATAAACCAATAGTACCATACCTGGTGTAATTGAAAACCCAATTGAAGTCTATAATTGTGAATGAAAGCTAAACACTACATTAATATTGTTTCATAGATAAAAGGGAGATATTAGAAGGTGTAAAAATAGTTTGAAACCAGCTAAGCCTAACTTAGGCCTATGACAAATATATTTAGGTCGTACCCCATCAAGCTTGATGTCAAAAGCGAATTCCAAATGGGATGGAAGAACGAAGGATTCATGGTTGAGGAAGTCGTGATAATCGGCGATTAGGGAAGGATCATACAGGTGAAATTCCCCTGGGTTAGAGAACATGGCTTGCAACATCTCGAGTTCCTCGAGATGCAGTGCCAGATTCTTCTTAAACTTCTCAATTCTTTGGGCCTCGGTGAAGTCACAATAAGGCCCATCATCGTTCTCTGCCATCATAATGTATGATCAGAGGAGAATGTTGGCCCACAAAAGTAGCAGAATAAAAAAATACAATGCCGTGTGTTGCTTAAGTACACGTGGTCTGACTGACACCGACGGTAAACACCATCCGGCAGTGATGCCGTATCGCACCCAATCCTGACTGTTCAAAAACTTGTATACACAGTCTGTCAAAGGAAGTAATTATAATCATGCCTAAAATAAATATGAAAAAAGTGGTATTTGTTTGTACATAGTTTCTTCTAACTTTTTCATTTGAAGGATGAAAGAATCATGAAAGACATCTTTTTCTTCCAGACCAGCGGCTGCTGGGGAAAGATTGAGAGCGCTCTACCATGATGTGAGCGCGAAATCAAATTAGCAACGATTTTCCGATCTCCGATCATGACCTGCTTGCGGACAGTTTCAAGTCGTAAATGCATTTAGCTGAAAATCCTAAGTAACAATTACTGAGTTGCAGACTGATATAGGTTTTTCTGAGGATGCAAAGGTAAGCAAACTTACAAAAAGAAAGGCAAAAAATAAACTAAGAAAAGCTAAGAAAACAAACCTAATATATACTGCAAAGGAAGCTAACTTGTTTAATAAAAAGCAGGTAAAGATAGAAACGAACGTATAATAAAAGCGGCCAGGAAAGTGGCTTATAACTTTATTCTCATTGCTGAAATTCAAGTTTCACCATCAGTATTGGTGAGGTAAAAGAGACTTTTGAATTTTAATATCATTGCAGGTGTTGATGTTTTGGATACATTGAGAGAGGCCATCTGCATACCAGTGGATCATCCAGTGTCTTTGGAAGTAGTACAGCATGATGGAATACTATATGCTATGGCTGCCCTTGCTAGGGATACTAAGAATCCAGAGAAGGATGACGGAAATGCAGTTGTCTTCAGGTTTTCTGGTTCACCTGACAAAGTAAGTTTGTTATATGCGAATAACTTACTGTGGCAATTGTTGAAATAATTTCAGTAGGTCTACTGTTGATGCTGCAAAGGTGGAAATGATGGATTTGCATTAGAAAGTATGGTCTCACTAATGGTTCTCCTCTTTTTCTCCCAAGACACAAGGAGTTTTTGAAGAAATCCCCTTTCCCAACACTGAACCTCATGGAGCAATATCTCTATTACCCATCAACATTGACAATCACCTCTTCATTTTGTCACTTGAAGATTGGGATGAAGAACTGCTGCCAAAGAAGGAATTTAGCAGCAGTAAATTGTGGAGAGTGGATAAGGATGGGGCACAGCTCACCTACGTGCAGACCCTTCCAAGCTTGCATCCAACAGATGCTGCAGTCTGGTATATTGGCCAAGATCCAAATTCTATTTTTCTTCTTGAAGCCCAGTGGTGCATGCAGGGGAGGAACTCAGGGCTTCAGCTTCCCCCCCCCAATCACTCAATTTTCTCAATACTGAGCCTCCCTTTCCTACATAAAGTCTTGCATATGCCACTACTTATGCCTATAAAAGCCCAGACACTTTTCTTTGAAATTTTGACCTGCTTGGAATATTTCTGCAGGTATAGTAGAAAGGGTGTGCATTTAGCTGTTGCAAATGCATACACAATGCTTCCTAATGGAGAGGTCAACTATGAAGTGGACAGTTTCGTCATGTGGTGGATGGGGAGCCATTTTGACATAGTGGGTTTTCTGCCCACCAAGAATGCCCAAGCTATTACAGGGGTACAAATCCACAATATGCATTATGTTTTGGTGGCCAACCATATGGACAATACTGGTAAGTTCTTTTTACTCTTGTCTTGTACTGTTGCATCCAATCGATTGAGCAAAGTTGATTGTTATTGTGTAGGGAATGTGGATGTGGACTCGGTGGTTTTCAAGCAAAGTGTAGACAAGGATGAATTCACAGAGTATCAACGAATCCGTACCCATGGAGCCAAAGATTGGAAGCACTTCTCTCTAAAACAAGGGGATGTTGAGAGGCACTTTATTGTTGTTGCAAATATGTACACCAAAGGTGACCCTTATACTGTCAGCTTGAGAATATCTAGTATAGATTGACTATATTTAATCTGTTAACCCAATTTGTTTTAGATGCTCGGGGCAAAATTTCATATAGGGTTGATTCTGTGATTTACCAATTTGTTGAGGACACTTTCACTGTCTTCCAATGCATTCCAACTTTGGGTGCCTTGCAGTGGCTTCCTATTGGGGTATGGATCCAAACATCCTATTTTCCTGCAGTGGTTAATGCTTATTCCTCATCTGTGGGTTTCTTCTGCTTTCATAGACCAAGGAGGGAAGTATGATTCTTGCACTGGCCACAGCTTTTAAAGGTCTGGAACTGTATCAGTATGATGGTTGGATGTTTCATCGGACCACGGTCAAGGCGTCATCCAGTGCTGGCCAAGGTCTTGTTCATCTATCAACATTCACCATGGGAGACAAACACTATCTTGGTATGAAAAGCCAAAGGAATATATGCTCTGTGTTGGAGACATGATCAGAGCTGTACCAAGGGAGCTGCGAGTGGTGCACCTATGCAGGGCGTCAATCTGTCAACTTGAGGTGGTGCCAATTGGCTGCCAAATCCCTACAAAATATACAAACTTTTAAGATATTGCATATTATCCTAAATTTAACTAAATTTAACAAATTAATACATAATGTATTGTTGGTACTGTGGAAGCTGGAGAGGTATAGAGGGGGGGGGGGGGGAGAGGATGAGATATCTTGCACAGGGCACCAAATATCCTTGGTATGGCTCTGGACATGATATAAGGTTGGAAAGTCTTGAAAATGCAATCAATGCAGTTGCAAGTAAACTGCTGCAGATACAGTTGTCTGCTATCAATCAGTTGCATGGAGGATAGAACCAACAGCCAACAACAACAGATAGTTGCAGTACCAGTGTTGCAGCTATTCCTCATTTGCAGGCTGTCAAGTTACCAATACTAATTTGATGTTTTTGTAGGTGTACACTTGACAAGAGATTTGTTGTTCTGGATGTGTTATGCATGTTATTTTCTTTTAAATTCTAGAATCTCTCTTTCTAGAATGCTCTTATAGATATGAGAATCAAAACACTTGTTTCGATAATTAGTGCCTTGTTACAGTATTGATGCAGCCAACAAAAGTAGTAGCTTTCCTGTAAGCTAATATTTGTACAGAAATATTTCATGTTTTGTGTTTAAATTTCCTGGGCTCCCCCAGTTTGGTCTGGAAAGTCACGTTTCATTATAATTTGTCAATTGATACTTGTCACTTTAGTTAAGCACCTAGCAGAGTATGTGGGCTTGTTTCAACAGTCCCAGGTGTATGCTTCCACCAAACTTGAGAGATGACCAAGAAAGTGACTCCTGGGTTCAAGGAATCAACTATATGGACTCATGAAACTCGTTCTAACATGGCTTAGAAGGATTTTGTGCATGGTTTTGGTGTAGGAACTCTTGACATAGTATGGAGACAATGTCCAAGCAGGTACCATAGATATACTAAGGGAGGGGAACAAAAGGGCAGCCAACCCCTCAAAGTGAATTTGGGATATCTCTTCCTTTTGGAACGAAATTTGGAGGTTTATAAAATCTCCAAATTTCGTTCCTCATTTTCTCTGTCTCTAGCAAAGATAGTCTCCTGGGACTGCATTGTTGTAATGCTTTGGGGGGAAAAATCCATGGGCTTGAAGGGAGAAAGAAAAAAGCATAAACACAACACCCCTCATTGTCACCATGAGTTTGAGCTTGTCTTGCTCCTCCTTGTCCACATTTAATTGCATCAGAGATAATGCAGTTATGCAAAGTGGGTTTAGGAGACTTTGTGTGCATATGATACCATGTAATAAATGAAATGTCTCAATTTCAAAAGAAAAATTCTATAATTTCCAGAGGAATCCATCATTCATCCATCGTTCCATCATGTCAGTGCTAAAATTAGTATTCCAACTGCTTCTGGTACGAAAGAGATTTGCTCCTGAGCGATGGAAACTTTGAATTAGGCTCCCTCAACAATCATTGCAATGGATTCTCCACTTAAGTTTTTTTTTTTGTTGGATCATTTACTATTAAATTATACATTTTTTAGGCCCCAAGATGCAAATAGCTGAAATGGATACTTTTGAACTGTTCATCTATTTTTTTGGTCCTGCAACAACTATGCAAGGTACAGTTACAGGACAAAGAAAGGCATAGTAATTTTACTTTTGTGTTCTCAAAAGGGACTCTATTGATTACAGCTTTCACTCACATTTTAAAATTTATTTTCTGGCATATCCATAACTTCCAGTTTCTAACACCAACCAGAAAAAAGGGAACTAGGTGGTGGAAGTGGAACTTCCATCAGGTGAAGCCCATTGACTAAATGATTTTCTTACCAACTTAAAAAATTATTTCTCTATGCAGTGTTGGCCAATAATAGGACATCCACAGCTGGAGGGAAGTGTGATGCATCCAACATTTGCAGCCTGGCATTCCGGCATGAAAATTGGTTGGGAGAGCTCATGGAGCATGGAGAAGCTTGGTGTCAGAGCCAGAAGAAGATGGTGAAATCAAAACAAACCACTTTAATCAGTGATGCATTCAAGAGTGCTATTAAAAGGGACGATGAAACGATTATCCTTCAAGGCCCAGCTAGCTTTGAAAAGGATGTATACATCAAAGGCACCCTTGAGACTGGCTCTGTAAGTGTGTCTTTGATGGTAGCTTACTGATGAATTGATTCTGGACTGTTTGGTTTTTGCTTTTGATGTATTCCAGATGAGAGATCTTTCCCAAAAACTCAAAGCTCAGGGAAATGGCTTTTATTCATTCTTTCAAGATACAATTGAGAAGTTCAATCGTGTCTCAGCTCACCTTCAGAAGCTGAAACAGAGGGTAACAAAGGCTCTGAAGGATTCAAAATCAGATATCATTGAAGGTACCAATTCTCCATAGTTCATAGAATTTCATGAAGTTTGTTTGATACTGACTGTCTTTTGTGTTTCTATATTTGCAGGAACTGTTGGCTTGGAAAATGTGCTAATGAAATGCAGGCATTGCAAGGTTCGAAAACTTCAAGTTAAAAATTTGAATGGACATGATATGGAGGCCATTTCTGGGCAAGCTCTCTTCATAAATGAGAAGGAGAGTTTGAATTACTTGAAGATCAGAGACATTTCAATGCAGGTAAAAGAAAAGGAAAGTCTTCTACTTACCTGGTATACATGTGTTAGAATTGGAGAATGCAACAGGATTCTCCATCCTTCAAGGACAGGCCATCTGCAAACATCCTCAATCCCTGGTAATATTACATTGATGGACCACTTGATCTATGCCAACTCACATTGTGCCAACTGGAGATGGTAATCTCACTTGCTTGACTGCAGTCCCTTGCTCTCAAAGCTTAGACCAGATAGCCCACTGATAAGAGGTTCTTTGTGGTTGGGGACAGTTGATGACCAGTCTTTGCAAAATCCTGCATGCATTCACACACAGCATTCATGTATCACCCAGTTATATGCAGTTAGTTGTGGTAGGATATCTTCTACCCTGTGCACTTAACCTTTATAGTGCCTGAGTCTATTAAATTGATGCTACAAATTTAGTTTAAAAGTGGCAAAGAGCTGGCAATAGAAGGATTAAGAAATTTATTTTTGCCAGAGTGCTTGTGTATATCCTTTCAATTTAACCCTTCTAGTGCCAGCTCTTGACTGGAATTTCAAAATAAAATTTGTAGCCTTGATCTAATTGACTCTGGCACTAAAAGGGTTAATACAAGCATCAAATGATGCTTGAAATTTTGATGCTTCCCTTCACAATAAGTTCTAACATTTCCCACTGCCTCACCATTGTGTCCACATCTCTTGCTAGAGGCTTATGAGCACTCATGAGCAGTGACCATGGGTGCCACAATTTTCATCAGGTGAGAGTGTCATGAAATGATGACACCCATGTCCTGTTTAGAGGCAATTGCAGCTGCACCAGCCTCACCTAGAGTGTAGTTGACAATGACTCTTCTACCTCCCCCACAGGGTGAGGGGGGGAACTTATTATTTTTTTACAATGTATTCTGTGCCCAAATATGTTCAAATGTTTGTGAGCAAGTAGTATGGAATCTAAAACATTACCTTCTTAGTAAAAAAAAACAAAACTGTATTGTGCCTCATACATTAGAGGGAGAACTAATTTTCCCTGATTTCAAGATGTTCATATTTGCTTGAAAATTTGTTCACTTAAGAGATAGATTCATATTAAGTAGAAATCAATTTATTTAGATTATATCAAGTTGTATTCAGTAGGGTATTTATATAAGCCTACTTTACCTCAGCTATTAGGTTCTTATAAGGTTACCAGCTCATTTACCAGATCAATAAAATTAAGCCAATCCACAATTGGAAAATAATTTATCAGGTTTCAGTTGGAATGCAAATTGATAATGTTAAGATGAACAACTTTCTTCAGTATTTTACTCTGTATTCTTGTGTATCAGTTTGTGGTATAGGTTTGATATATTTTACAAATGTATCAGGATCATCTACACCAACATTTTAAGTGGATCACTATCAATTTTGTGGGTAGCACCAAATGCGATAAGTATGACAAACATTGGGTACATGTACTTGAACCACTTTCTGACCAATTGTTTAGAGATCCATTACACTGTAAACTAATCCAGGCTGTATGAATTCAAGTGATCGTCCTGAACCAATGTCACACTCAGTTATTTTTAAGTGATTTACCTTGAATGTACATCAGCATTCATATCTGGGTAAATGACTATTCATGTAGGATAAAAGAAATTGCATGTTATTTTAGTCTTTAAAAGTCATTTGCATCATCTCAATCCTACATTTTCAAGAGCAACCTGGTGGTGAAGAATCATGTGAACAAGATACCAGTTGGAATGCTTGTGTCCAAGAGTGGTAAACATGAGTTCTCAGCACCTCAGATCTTCACAGAACCGGTGACTTGGAATGGCCCTGTGACAATTGGAGGATCCCTTGATGGAGTCCAGTTTTTACCTGACCATCTTCTTTTGACTGAGGGAAACCAGACTCTCACTGGTGGGACACAGTCATATCCTCATCATTGCTGATTCATGGTAGGAAAATATAGTTACTTGGTTTGTTTTCATTGACCAGGACGATTTGTGGTAAAGAGGATGGGAGTCTCTAATCTGTTTGTTCATACAATCAACAACAATGACATCTCCAAGGTCTATGAGAAGGCTGTTCTTATTCAGGGAAATTTTCTTATTTCTGGACTTGTGGTGAGTCTTGCTACTTTCTTGTCCTTGCATGCCAGTATACTATGAGCTTCATTATAGAGAGGTTTTCCACAATTTGAATGAATAAGGGACTCTCTGATTAATTTTAGACCATGGAAGCTGATCTGGATGTCATGACTAAACTTATTGTTGACAAGATAAATCAATATGAACCGAATCAGGTATGGAATAGTGGCCTGAAACTGATGCCTGACCAACCCCAAGTGATCAAAGGTCAGCCCCTTGTGGCTTTCACTTCTTCAGCTGTTCTTTGTGGTCGTATAGTTTCTTGAACTGCCATGTGATTAACTGTTACAGTTGTTCATAATTATGAGAACATTGGAATTGAGAAAGATCTGGAGGTGAAGGGGCACATAAATGGATATTCTTATCCCTTCCATGGAAGTGGACTTGCCCAAAATGTTCTCCATGGGCCATTGGTGATGGATGGAGATGTGCATTGCCAACATCTGGTTGCTCTTCACTCCCTCAATGGTAGGAATAGATGTTTTATTTTCTGCCTTGATCAGAGAAGCAGCTCATCTGATATAGGTAACTAGAAAATGAGATACCTTAAAAGGACACCCTAATGCAGGAACTTGATTGGAGTTTTATGATTGCTTTCTTCTTGCATCCTATGAAGGGGATGTAACATTTAAGAAGAAACTCCACCGTTAGTAATTAATACAATGTTTTTTGTGTTTTATTTTTGAGGAAGATTTCATTCTAGCCATTTTATTTTACCAGTGTTAAAAATAAGGCTGAGGCATCTTTTTTTCCCCTGGTGAATTCTTCAAATATGCATCTGAGCATTTCATCAACTGTGGAGCATGTGTACATGCATGAATGTAGCTTCAAGAAGTCGCAAGTTTATGCGTAACACATTGAATGAAAGCTGGTAACACCCTGGAAACTTAGGTATCCCAGTGGACCAAAAGCAGCTCCAGATCTGGCTGGTGCATGGACACAAGCAAAAGGTGAGGGGACCTGTTGTATTTGGAAGCATCCGATTCGCAGAGGATGTTGAAGTCAATCAGGAAATCAATGGCCATTCAATCAGTAAGCTGCAGATGCCAGCCTCTTCAGGTCAGTCACCTGGTATTTACCATACATGGGCTTATAGCATGATGGTAGAAAAATGCAGTTTCTTCTTTTTTCTACCATAGGTGACCTATATGTCATGGGGACTGCCCATTTTGAGAACCAGCTTCATGTTGACAATGGCTTGAATGACTTGGATATTATAAAAATTTTGAAGGAAGCCCTCCATATAGATGAACCCATCCCTCCCATCAATAAGGTGGTCTTCGAGGACAAAGTCAAGGTATGTTTTGGAGCATTATCTTGAACCTAGAACATAATAGGATTAAGAGACTAAATACTGTTTCATCTGCTTACACAGATACGAGACTTTCATGCTGAGGCTGTCAATGGAGAAAAGTCCTCACGTTGGATCAAGATCAGGGGAAGAGGTTCAGAAATTATCAGTGGTCATATGAAGTTCTTAGAAGAAGTCACCTTCTCTCATGATATCAATGTGGAACGCCTGAATGGATGGATCCTCAACGAGACCTTTGGAGATGTGTTTCTCAAAGATGGCAAAGATGTGGTCTGTGGGGACAAGCTGTTTAGTAAAGGTATCCAAGTAGATAGGTAAGTCTAAACCTCCTTTTGCTGGAAAGAGTTTGGAATGGTTTGAAGTAATTTGAAATGGTTAGATTTTTAAAATTTTAAATAATGGTTTGAATAGGTTCAAGGAATTGGGCCAGGATGCTTCAAGGGTATTTTATGCTCATATTGGCATCCTGAGTCAAAGTGGGGGAGGGGAAGGATCAATCCTGACTTCTTGGATCTGGAGTGCTTTTCTGATGAGTAATTGTCACTACTAATGGCACATGATTTCCTAAGGAGCAAGGGTGACAGATGTGTGTGCTCATTATTGCTATTGCTATATTACTTGTCAAAAGTCTAACCCCTTTTCTAGGAATGCATTTCCAGTCCAAGAGATAAGGTCAAGATATGTACATGGTAGTAACTCACTTTTTTCTCCTGTTAGTTTGCCCTTCAATTCAGTAAAATTGAATTTCCTTCTGGAACATTTTAACAACTTGAATATGCAAGATTGTTGGTTGCTTCTACTGCCATATGTGCTGAATATTATTTCTCAGCTTTTTCTTTCTTCCAAAATTTGCCTCATAATAATAATGGTTTAGTCATGATTCAGGAAATATTGTTTCAGAAAAATTGCATTCCATCATCTTCAAAGAAAGGTCAATGAAGTGATGAGATTTGTGCTGTGACAGTGATAGTCATTGTTTGGCAGTTTTTTGCTTGATAAAACAGGTTGTGGAGTGGAATTGATGACTGGTAAAATCTGCACATGCAGCACTTCTTCCAAAAGGGATGCAATATTCCTTCTCAGGTTCAAAGGTGAACCATGTTGTAACACAAGCAGTGCATGCCTACATGATGGATTTTTTTTAGTAAGGCATGAGCATACTTTATCAAAATTGAGACATCTATCCTATAAGGATGGTATGTCAAGGGTGAATAAGGCCCTTTTGTAGAATTCATATTTATGCCCAAGAATAGAGTATAGTGTACAGTTCTGCACAAGTTCTATCGCCCCTACTGAGTGATAAGTACATGTCCCCTATCTTGAAAGCTTCCTGACTCAAGCACTGGCTGGATATGAGAGGACCAGACAAGTAAGAGGTCCTGGGGCATGCCAAAAGATTTCATTATCTTCATGTACATTTGTTGAGATGCCTTAGAAATGATTGATGGGATCTAAACACTAAATTAAAGGTCATTTGAAGAATTAGAAGTCCCAACAAGCAGATGTAGGTCTTTCTCTTCAAGCTATGGCCTGTGAAGTGGAGGTCATGTTGAGCAGGAGATTTGGAAATGTGAAATTCCATCACAGAAAACTTAGTTGCTTCACGCGATTGCAATGCAATACTTTGCTTGGGTCAATCACATGAAGCAATGTGCCAATTATTGCCAGGTACCAAGTATTGCATTACATGCAATACCTGGTAAATTGGCAGAGATGAATTAGGAGTTTAATTTCTGTTGTCATACAGGGCTTGCTCTTTGAGCTGATCTGGATTTTCTGAAGTGGGAAGAATTATTGTATCTGAGGCTGGAGGGGTCTGGGTAAAATTTCTCTGATGTCACTGCAGGGACTGAACCAGACATCAGTCCAGATGTGGTGGGTAATAGTCACCAAAGGCTCTGATGGGTGAATCCAGGATTCATTGGAAATGAATAGGGCTGGAGGCCTGGATGGGAGGACATATTGAAGGGGTTTCCTCCAAAAGACATTATGATCTCTGTGGCCTAATGGGGGAAGAAAATGGCTTGGGAGTACCATTTTTGTAGTTCTGTAACTATTAAGTCAAGGATTGATTAAGAGTGCTTTTCTAGTTTTACTACCTGGATAAGACTATAATCATCTTAAATAATGCATTATTGCAATCTGGTAGTTCCATCTGCTAAGTTGGGATTAAAAGCCAGGAGGAACAGAGAGTAAATATTCTTTTAATGCTTGTAAATTTAGTAGACACTTTAAGTTGCACTCCCACCCATGAAAGGGGTTGCAGATGCTCATGCTAGGAGGAGTGCATGCAGGAGCTCTTAGGTTTTATACCTTACTTGACATAAAGGAGCATTGATTGAAGTTTTGATCATCATAGTGTCACACTGCAGCCATATGCTTGAACATCTGCATTGGATTCTCCCATTCAAGATTTCCTTGCTCTTTTTGATCAAGTCTGAACTACCTTGAATTACTTTAATAGTGCTTTTGATCTTGTCAGTTTGTATTGGATATCTAGCATTTGGATTTTTTTTTAATCCTCTAAATCTTGTTTAAAATATTGCTATTTTTCAAAAGAACCAGGGTCAGAAGTATCAGGAAGGAGTCTTACAAAGTAAGATTTACACATTCCTTATCTGGGGATATAAGGATCAAATAAGCATATGGAGGAAGTGATTCCCACCCCAAAGAAGATATATTACACTGTAAATTGCATTTCCACCTATGAAAGGGGTTCAATCATCTCCCAATGCTCACATGCTTGCTTGCAGAAACTGTGATGTCATATGCCTTTCCCACCTTCTAGGGACATGCATTTAAATATCAGTCATTGTGAAGTTGCACTAGAATCACTTGTGCAGTACCTCATGCACCTGAAATTCCACTTTTAATTCACTCATCTGAACTTGCTCAATCTGATGGTTTGGATTGAATTGGTTTAACTTACAGCCCTTGGCTGAGGCTGGCCATGCTTTCTGGCTTGAATGTCAGTAATAGACCATAAATTCAAAATGCATTACTTGATTGCAATTTTAGGATCACTGTGAAAGAGCTGCTGGTGAATGGAAAACCTCTGGATGAGATCCTAGCCATATCTTCTTCACCCAAAAGGCAGAACATCTTCCAAAGAGCAATATTTAAATCTGGCTTCATAGCTAAAAATCTCAAAATGAAGCACTTGAATGGGCACGACCCAATTGCTGCTCTCAAAGACACCTTGTTTGAAGCTCCTCCAAATGGAACTGCCCAGCGGTTCCTTGTCCCACAGACATTCAAGGGGAAGCTGACTGCCAACACAGTGAATCCACATCTTACCGTGAATGGCAAGGACATGAAGGCTGAATTCTCTAACTTTCTGTATGATGATGAAGTTGCACATTTTGGAGGGATGGTCAAGTTCCTTGAACCAGTGGAGATTGAGAACCTCCACTTTTCAGGTACAATTATCAGGACATGAATCATTCCCCTTTTTTGAATTCAAAGAAATAAAATGTTTCTTTTAGGAGCAATTGATGGGATGAACATGGATCAACTGAACCAATGGCTCCTCCAAGACAAGGATCAGTCTGTCTCAGGCTCTGTATATATCAAAGGCACTGTGAAAGCACCCTCTCTCCTAATCACTTCCAAGAACCTCAATGGCTTGGATTTAGACCGTCTAAGGAATGAAGCCCTGACCATTGATGAACCAGCAAGAATTCCTGCTTCATTACAATTTAGTTAGTTTCCTGTCTCATCCCAGAAATGGGAAGAGAATGAATGTTTAATTTTTTAGGGTTTTTCACTAGGGAGTGTGAAGTCCGAGGGCCCTGTTGAGGTTGGACGTCGTGTATCTGGGTTGAAGCTCTCTGATGAGGCTGTCCTGAAGAACCAGAAAACAGTGTTTGACTCCAGAAAGGCTCTTAAGGGAGGTGCCAATATCAGAGGACGTCTTCAAGTTCAACAGGGAATCAATGGATTTCAGGCAAAGGAACTGTGTGACCTGAAACTTTTGGACAGCGTATCAGACCAACCTGATAATATCATCTTGGATGGTGTGTGTAAACTTGCCCTGAGTTCTACTGTTGATGTGTTTGAATTTATATTATGTTCATATTTAGAGTATTTTGATGGCCATTGAAAATTGAAGGTCTTTATTTCAACATGTTTGCCTGCTTAGGTGATGTGACCTTCCATGATGGTGTGACCTTGGATGGAGTCTTGAATGATTATGATGTAGCCTCTCTGGAAAAGCAAATCTGGCTCCGTGATCGAGATACCGTCCTTCAAGCTCCTGTCCACTTTCATACTGCACACTTCTCAAAAATTAATCTAGAGGTTTCCTTCTGCTTTACAAGTCAGCAAATAATACTTCTTAAATATCAAATGAACCTGCTTTGAATTTCAGGGGGAGTTAGACAGAGTCAACGTGGATTCAGTAAGGGAGAACTATGTGGACCGTGAATCTCACAAGCCAGTGCATCTAGAAGGTTTCTATCAATTCCAAGATGTTGTTGTCAAGCATGACCTTGCTGCAGTGGAGATCAGAGTCAATGGTGTCTTGAATGGAACCAGGATTGATGACACTATTAAGGACCTGTTGCTGAGCAATGGAGATCAGGAAGTACATAGTTACAAGGGCTTCTCAGGTTGTTATGTGGAAGGTGAGCTCTGGAAAGCTGCTTGCAATGTATAGTAGTTGAAAACATGGAGAAAAAAAAACTTGAGATTTTGGGTATGCTTGTAGGGGATATGACTGTGGAGAGGCTGAATAGTTTAGATCCCAGGAAGCAGTATTTTCTGTATGGGAAGAATAACTCTGTTAGTGGCCCAACATTCATGGACACATTGGAGGTATTACAAGGGGTAACCATGAAGAAAGGGAAGACCTTGTCAGGCATCAACTTGAAGACATGGACAGAGGAAGCAGTACGCAGCACAGGAGATGTCCAATTGCATGGCAAAAAACATTTCCATAGTCTTGTCTTTCCCAAAGGATTTCAGTAAGTTCTATGCCCTAAAGTACTTATTCCAATTTTTTCTGATAGTGGTGCAATAGGCTGAAACACCCACACATGAGAGTATTGAGGAATGCCTCACTCAGATTTTACAATTTAGAATTTCACAGATGGACACAATGGTAAAGAAAATCAAGGGTAGGAGAAAAGTAGATTTCTGTAGGTTGTATAAATAGGAAGTTTGTCATGATTATTTACTTTGTGTGTGGATGCCTTTCTCTTCTGGAAAATCTGCAATCATAGTTGAAGATAGTCATACTTGTCTTGTAGCAAGACAGAGAACAGTAAATCTACATAAATATTTCTTCAGGTGGTGTATGAGCCAGCTTGATGAATTCCTCGTCATTGACTTATTTGAAATTTATTTTGCAAATGTGCTTGTCCTCACCCTATACCTAACAGCTGAACATCAGAGTATTAAGACATGAATGTATTTGTATAACAGATGCTGATTTTTGAATTCCTTTATATATACAGGGTGTTCCATAAATTATTTTACAGAGGGATTTTCAGTTATTCTCACTTTAATTAAATTGATGTGTGATATTGTTTTATTGCCATTGTTAAAAGTTTTATTTACATTCGAGGTGAAGGAAGACACATGCTTAAAAATTTATTCCTGACATTTAAATTAAAGTTAAGAATTTAGTATAGCTGAAAACACCTTTGTAAACTGACTTATGGAACACCCTGCATTTCTACCATCTTTGGTATTAGTTTTCTTTTGATCCCATGCTGAAACTATTGATGTAGAGGGCTTGTGCATTGACATGAATGTTGCCATTTTTTGCTGAATATGCATTAAGTTAACTGCACCAAAGCAATTGGAACTGGTGCCAAAGCAAACTTGGAGGGGTGTAATTTTGATTTTACATTTCATGCTTCTGAGTGACAGCATTTTGCAATTCCTAATATTGCCATATTCCTCCCAATCATTGGCCAATATTGCAACATTTTGCTTTTCACTACTACCAAATATTGATTTTGATCATAGTCCAATATAGGGAATATCTCAATCTAGATAGCACCAATGCCGCTTTGCTACTGAAGCTGTTACTGCAGTGAAAAAGAGAAGTTGCCATCCCCTTCTGCATTTTTTTGCAGGGTCAAAGGGAGCCTTGATACTGTAAGGATATCTCGAACTGAAATCCTGACCACTACAGATGACCAGGTTCTTGATAGTGACCTAGTATTTGATTGTGAGGCCACTTCAGATACATGTGTAACCTTCTCTACAGTGGATTTGTTGGGCTTCTGGAATGAAGTGAACATCACACGGCTGGATGACGCAACAGTAAGATCCCATATTTTAAAATATTTTTATTACTGTGTGACTATCAGAGTTGCCCATCAAAGCCTTAACAAGAGTTTATTCATGGTTGGTACAAATATTTCTTCTGGAGGGAGAACCATAGTCAGGCAAAGATGATTTGCAGTCCTGTTTTTCTGAGTTCCATCTCTAGATCACTGGAATTCCTCCTTATCTTCCATTCCATCATACTTTTGTTTTTGTGCAGACAGGATTGCAGGTATGGACAATTTTACTTCATGGAAAATGGAGTGTTCTTGAGTGAAAGAATAGTCTCTTAAAATGGGGTGGAGACAGTATTTCACTAATGTGCAACTCTGATGACTGTACATTGCTCAACTGAAATTACTTCTAGGCTAAAAGGAACCAGGAGAATGTATTCAAGGCCCAAGTGAATTTCTTGACATCCCCAACGATGATGACAGCTAAACTGCTGGGCAAGGTTCTTGATGTTGACCTGGATCACCTGTTTACAGTGATAACTCGTCCTGTCAACACCTCATCATTAGAGAGCACATATGGATTCCTTAAACAGACTTTGGATTCTTTTGACTCCACCATGGAAGGTGAGTATTGAGTGAATGTGGTGGTAATATTAAGAAGGAATAGAGGCCCTTCACATGCCTGTTGGTAGGCCAAGCCATCTCACTGGATCACTATGAAGAAGTACAAGAATGTGATGAGAGGCATGTCTTGGAATCTGTTCCCCTCACATTCCATGCTGTTGATGGTTCCATTATTCATATGCTGGCAATCTCCCTGGCTGAAGAAGTCCGCCCCCATCAAACCATTGTCAAGTTTCTTGAATACAGCCACCAGCAGGAACTGTACCTCTACAGAGGTCTCCATGTCCTATCAAACCATGCTACATCTCTATTGTCTCTGTCTGTGGATGAGCACCAGTTCCTCTTTGTGGCTAATGTGGCACCTGGCCTAGATTTCTTGGATTTCCACTATGGACCCTTCAATGAATATGCTCCCAAAACTGAAAAAGGTGGGTTCATATATCTTTATTTCCATTAATTTTTATGAAATTTCTTTTTGGTTGGCCATGTTTAAAAAAAAAGTTGGTTGCAGATGAGACAACGGTGATTGTGTACGAGTTCAATCCAGCAGCCAGAACCTTCTCTATTGTGCAGAAGTTTTTCACTTTCATGACAGTGCATCTCATCCACATTGATATAAATGGCATCCCTCATGTCTTTTTTGTCAACTATGGAACCCCAGAGACATCGCTGGTGGATTCATCACTCTATGTTTACCAAGGAGGAAAGTTTGTACTATTCCAGAACATTCCAACCAAAGGAGCACGAAAAGTGAGTTGGCACCTGAGTACTTTAAACTTTAGATACTCCTATTTGTATTGTTGGTTGCCCTTGGTCTTCTGTGCAGGCTAGTGTGGCATACCTGAAGAGAGGAGAGGAAGACGTCCCGAATCTTATAATTTGCAACCATAACTCCTCCAGCTCATCCACATGGGAAGCACACTCTGAGGTCTGGGCCTACAATAGGGCTTCAGAGTATTTTGCTCTCACCCAGACCCTGGTTACTTCATTCTGTCTTGATGTTGACACCATTCATTATGCTGGGGAAGATTATTTGGCTGTTGTCAATGGGAAAGGAGTTGATGACATGAGACAAGGTTCTGTAGACATTTACAAGTGAGTCTTATCCCTGGGTTGCCAAATACAAAAATTTTAAACCTTTCTTAACTGAATTTTCTGTTGACTTGGAAATTTTTTTAAATCCTAGGTACATTTCAAAGGTGTATGGTGGAGGATATGAAAAAATCCAAAGATTATCCATGTCCTCTCCAATCTCCTGTGACTTGGACACTCTCCCAGTTGGAGGCCTCTACCTGATTGTTACTGTTGATTATGGCGATGTGAGTCTCATGAGGACTGTCTCCATTGAGAACTTTATTAGCAAAATAACCATAAAATTTCATATCAAGTAACGTTCCTGTGACGAGTTATGTATCATGTAACTGGTCAAGAGAGAGAGAGAGAGAGGTTCATGTTTTATCTTTAATCCCTGAAAAATAATATATATTTTTCTGTTCCAACTAGGAGACTGTTGAACTCTACAAGTATAAGCATGCCTCAAGGTTTGTCATGGAGCAACAGATTTCCATCCCAGGAGCAGAGCAGGCAAGAGGCATGTCTTTGACTGAAACTGATCACTATCTTGTCATCAAAGGGAAGGAGACTTTTGACAAGGTACAAGGCATCATTACCAATCCAACAAGAATCCTGAAAGCACGTATTTCGGGCCTGAGTCAGCATTGAGTGAAATTTCTTATTGTTTTTAATGTTATTAAATATTTTCTGTTTCATTTTTGGAATGTGGCTTTGAGTTTTTGAAATTGTTGAAGATAGAGTAAATTATTATCCAGTTCAGTATTGTGAAGTGCTCAATGACTAACTATAAAAAAAAGGACAGTGATAGATCCCTTAAATGGAAGTGCATCCCACAGTATTTTGTCAGTGACATTGGATGTATTTCATCTCCAGCTGCCTTTAGAGGTCTTCTCAGGGTATGTTACCATAATCCTTCCCTACTTTTGTGTCCAGCTACTCCTGTGGCTATTACTGTAATTACAGTAGGTTGCAGCTGGTGGTGCTAGAGAGCAACAGTCTATAATGATGTTTTTGACATTGAAGGGAGGCTCAACCTCTGCTGAGCCATACATTATACATTCAGGCAAGACAATACATGGTAAGTTCATGACATTGCATGAGGGCCACATTTTTTTTGTACACTCATGCTTATTGTTCCAATTTTTCTCATTTCCACCATTGTGCAGGAGTCTTGATGGAAATTTGTGACTGACAAAATAAAGTGGGATACAGCTCATGCCAATTTGCTATTCAATAGGATTGGAGAGTTTAGCTGAAAAACAGACAGACAGGTATTTGTTTTGTAATCAAACCTTCAATTCCAATCAACCCATAATTCCAGATGGGAGCCAACTGTATGCATAACAAAGGGCAAGCACCTTCAATGCAGGAAATATAACTGGACTGCTCCTGCATTACAGGATGCATGCTGACTTTAACCACCATCAAAGAGTTCAGTAATTGAGCATGAGATGAGAAAATTTCCTTTCTGTAAGATATATACTATGCATATAAACTCAATATCTAGCATTATAGATTAAGTATTGATTTTATCAAAATAAAACTACTACAATCTCACTAAAGCAGTAATTCCACTTGTATCCTTCCCTCATTACTGTTCAAGATAGCTCAGGTTACTTCATGCAATTACTGTCTATTTTAAATTATTCCAAAAGTAACCTGAGATTGATTCTGATTTCAATTTGAAGGAATTTTGATGGAATTCAGACAAATTTTGAAGCCAGTATATAATAGTAGCCTCACATTATAGGCTCATTTTGCTGGTAGACTCCAGGCATTCCCAATTGTCATGAGTAATCCAGTTATATTTCTTCTGTCCATGACAAGAAGACATAAATAGGTTAACAATAAAAAATCTTGACAAGGAAATACTATAGATGCTTATCACAAAGCAGAGAATCTAATGCTGGAATCACATCTAAGTTGAGCTTGCACTGAATTATTAGGGTACAGCAGTCATGCTGCCTGTCTTCTGAGTCCAAGTTCAGTGACTTTTCTCTGTGCAAATGCCATGACTACCATGCTGGTGCCATTGGCAATGAAGCTTCTGATGGAGCCAGGGGCAATGCCTCTATATAAACCAAGGAAGCCACCACGCCCAAGTACGACTTGTCTTATACGTTGAGTTAATGGGATGCAAGAACCACCATAATGAGCTTGAACCTGTGACTTCATATTTTCCAATGGCCACACCACCCACCAAGAAACTGTAGCTGCAACTCCTGATATGAGAAATGGACCAAATATTGGTCTATTGAACTGCTCAGGGAAATGTCTCCTGCCAGAGTCCACAAGTATAAAATAGGTGCACAAAAGGCCCAGAGTCCTCATCCAGGTCACACCAAATCCTGTGTACATGTCCCTCAAGTGCCAACTCTTTCCAACCTGTCGACTCACTTTGGCATACTCCAGAGGACACTCAATGAGAGCTCTTGCTGTTGAAGACATGAAACCACCAATGAGAACTCTGTACTGGATTCCACCTGTTCCAGGAATATCTTTTGCTGCACTTGTGTTCTGGAAGTAGGTGTAAACTGCCTCAAAGACAGCAAACTGGGATGAACGAAAAATTCCAGAGCCACACAAAGGTGGAATCCAGCCCCGATAAAGACCAACAAGTCCTTGAGTTCTCAGGGTTTTAGAAAATGTCTGAATCATGCCACATTTTTCATAGCCAGCTTGAGCTTGCATTTTGGTCTTGAGTGTGTCGAAGGGATGCCCAATAGCAATACTTGTTGTTCCATACAACATTCCTACTCCAAGCCCAATGGCTCCTTCTTTGAACCAATGAGTCCGCTCCTCACTATGAGTCATTTTTCTGTTGGGACTGCACCTGCTAAACACATTCCCAATCCAACAAATTCACAGGGCATCAAGAAAGGTAATGAGAGGTATCCAATAAGAGACAAGGAATATGAAGTTTGAATTTGGATGCATGGACATAAGAAGTTTTTAAATTTATGAATACTTTGAACAGCTCCCTACCCATTATTAAATTTCACATTCTTTTTAGTAGCAATTTTCCCTGACAGTAAAATTACATTCAATAATAATGACCAATTTTAAATACCGACCTATTCCCAAGCATATCTCCTTTTCTCCTCTTCTCATTCCAAAACTAATGGATAAATCTTTGCCATGTCTCTAAAATACATTTCTATAACCCACTTACTCTTCTTAATTATTCCAAGAACCCAGATTCAACCCAACAAAGCAAAACTTCCTGTTATGTATACTAGATGCTACCTTTTCCAAGATTGACTCCTTTTCTTGCCTGAATCTCAAGACAAGGATTATCCCCCAGGAAAACCCCGAGCTCCAATGTTTCCTCTGAGCCATCATATCCACAACCTAGAGTGACCATCTGTCCTGGTTTTTCAGGCCCTGCCCCAGTTAGGAAACTGTGCCGGTTTTCAACAAATTGCACTTGTTCCCTGGTATTTTTTCACCCTCCCTTATATTTTTGCTTGAAAGCAAGAGCATCACTGTCTCCATACTACAGTTTATAGCTGAGAAGATTTCCATTTCTGTGTGCTTTGATTAAGATATACTGATGAAGTCACCTGCTTAATGGCTTTTGTTTGGAGGGAAATTGATGCATGGAATGCTCAAGAAAAAGAAGTTGAAATGGAAAAAGGCATTTTGCCATTTTAAAACCAAAAATATTTATGAGAATTTGAGAAGCATTGCTGCTCACTGCCTTTCAAGAACCAATGCACCAGTGGAACAAGTTATCTCAGCAATGAATTGTATGTGCAGCAATGAGAAATCTCAGTTGATGCCATAAACAATTAAGGTCTTGCTCTTTGTGAAAGTAAATTTTGATCTCAGCTATAAAGAATTTCACGAGTAACTGGGCAATAGGGATGCACCGATCCAGGATTAGCTGATACTGATCCCAATGTCATAGTATTGGCTGATACCAATACAGATAGCTCCCAGTGGCTGTCAGAAATGAAACCACAATACAGGACCAGACCTTAGTAGGCCTTATGCTATCTTTGGCATAGAAGGGAAGAAGTAAAAAAAATCCTTGGGCACTAATGACCCAACATTCAAAGTTCCTGTCATTTATTTAGCTTTGGAGACATTTACGTCGGCAATATATTAGCTTCTTGAGTATAGGTCAAAACTTCCCCCGCCATTCACCAGGTCCACCCAGAATACATCGGACATAAGTACCATGTACAAAGGAGTTGCAATGCGAAGAGAAGTAGAGGTAGGAACTACATCTAGGAGAGCCAGAGGTGGGATGGACATGAGCACAAAGTGCACATGCGCAAACCAGTCAGTGCAGGAAGGCAGGAGACGGGACAGAAGGGGGGAAAGTGAAGGAATGAATGTGTACACGAATGACACTGGCCCATTCCACTTTTAAAATGCCCTTCTCAAATCTCTTGCATTCTGCTTTAACCATGCTCAAGCTCATTGTCTATCAGTTGGAGATTAAAAAGAACCATGATGGACATGAGGAACCAAATGCCATTATGAATGTGGTTTTTTCACGAGACATTCCAAAAATGTATGCGCTGCGCATCAAGTATGGCATGTGGCAAAGGAGAATCAGATCGGATTGGCTGATACCAATCCCAGTCGATCCACTTGGTATCGGCCGATACCGATACTTTGGATCAGAATCGGTGCATCCCTACTGAGCAAGGAGAGAAATGTCTTAAAACAAATCCATTCTTTTAGTAATTATATCAATGTCATTCTGATGCATGTGAAGGCTCAATAAAAGTTCATCTTGATTGAATTTTTCTTTCCATTCTGGTGTCCTTGTTTTTCACATTGCAAGGACTGTCATTTTGGCATTTTCTTGAAAATGTCCTGGTTTTTCCTGAAAAAATCTGGCCACCCTACAACAACCTCTTCCATGAGTTTAGAAACCTCTCAGATTTGATCCATATGCTGATATACTCTGCCACCTACAATATCTTTCAAGCCCTAAAGAAAAAGGAAAGATATACTTTTTAATCCACTCTTTTCCCTCCCATCACTCCTTAAGAATCAGGTCTCAAGCCTTAAGTTACACTCACTATGCTATACATCCCTCCACCCCCAAAGCTAATCCTTTTCTTCTTCATCTGAGGCACTTTTCTAAATTCACTTTCAGATTTTCTGGGGTGTTATTTACTTCACTGCATCTAGGACATACCCAGCAATACATGGTTGAAACTGAAGAGAGCCATGTTGGACAGAGTTATGGAACATATTAGATATGGTCATCAAGAACATAAGCCCAAATGAATTCACCTCAATCTAAACATCCATAGCCAAAAAGATCCCAACAAACTTCGCTTGTAATGCACAAAGTCAAACTTAAAGATCCTAAACACACAAAGAAATGGGAATCCTTGTAGCTTGAAACTCCTTCAAGAACACCAGGTCCCAGACTTTTAAAACCCTTCTCCTTTCACACTCTTATATCTCTCCAACTACTTCCCTCACCTCTATCCTATACCCTTTCACTCATTGCAGCAGTTTCTTGGCAAGCATCTAGGTGAAATGTGGCATTTAACTTTGACCTACATTCTTGCTCTATTTTATTTCCTATATCCTTTCTCCTCCAGCATGACCTCAGCTTCGGATTTCTTTTATTTTTTTCTTTATTTTCTACCTTGGAATTTTTTTCCTCAAAAATGGCATTTCTGACCTGAACTTCTTACTCCTGACAAAAGGGAATTACTTCCTGGAAACGTCGGGCTTCTTTAAGCAAATTCTTTTCGTTAAAGTCAGTGCGAAATTTCAAGTTTTCTTAAATGTAATATGGATACTTTTAGCCAGAATGAACTTCGTAGATTGCAAAAGATCGAGCACGTGCACAAACAGGTACTGAGAGGGCCATGACACCTCGGCGCAAAGAATCTCCATGGCTCCAGTGATCATGTGATTTTGGGCAGGGACTATCTAATTTGCACTCCAGAATGAAAGCGTTCGTACTACTTAATGCCTAGCAAAAATGAAGATTAAAAGATACAGTTAAAAATCATCTGCCAAGTTCGACGGACATGTCACGGATGAGAGGTGGATTGGACAGAGAGCAGGTTGTCAGGCAACCCTGCACGTGCCATCTTTCTTCCGGCCACTCTTTTCGTAGGGAGAGGTGAGTCGTGGACGAGCCTCGTCCTTTTTTTTTTGCGTGTTTTCGTACTGGTCTGTGTTTCTCAGTTAATTTTAGCATTTTTTTAAATTGTCTACCGTGCTAAGTTACTCCCGGAGTGGCAAATAGGGAAAAAGCACTATTGAAACACGCTCTACGACTGCATCCCAAAGTAGGCCTTCTATGCCTTTAGAAAGACTAAATACTTCTCCAAATTGATATATTAGCCGAGCCAATGAAGACTTTGCTGACAGGTCAAAGACCACTCTTTAAGTTTATTTGATTTGCCTACCAGGTGTATGATTCAAAGCCATTCCGAATTCACTGTGTCAATTATTCTTAAACAATGTATTGTTAGGCCTAACGTTAGATCAACCCACAGTTTAACGTTAAGTCTAAGGCCCTATGAAGTTCATGACTACATAGAGTTTAGAGTGTTTTGCAACTTCATAGAAGGGATATATCAAAGCAATGGGAAGACATTAGCACTCATGGCTTGGCCTTGAAAAGGAAGCTTAAGTCTTAACAGAAGCTATTTTCTTAAGATTTGTTAAAGCTGTGGTGGGAAAATTACCACAATAAGTTTATACATGGATTATTGTTCAAAATAGAGTTCAGTCCTTCAGATGGATTCAGACTGAGGTTTTAGACATTGAAGTAGATGCATTATGTAGGTTTCTGAGAGCCTGATTTCAATGTTTGCCTATTTGGAGTCACCCAACTCATGAACTTTCTTGTACATAAATCTGCTACAAATCATCCCATAACAGGCTAGATTTTGAGCTGGATTTATCTGTTGAATCTATTGCCCAATTCAAACATTAACAGTCAAAAAGATATGCCTATGGTAAAAAAAAGAGCATCTTTTAACAAATTATGGGGCTTGCCAAGAGAAACCATAGCAGGAAAAATTAGAGAGGTGAAACAAAGTAAATGCCATTATTGTTGACAGTGATGAAAGTAGGGTCTTACACATCCTTCATACAGAGTTTGGTATAGAATAATATATTAGGTGCCAGTAATAATGAACAACCCCTTCTATGTAAATTAATAGAAGAAAGTGCAAACTTTAATAGCCTTTTATCCATGGCATAATGCCAAAATGTAGCACCTGATGGCTTGATCATTGTCAATAACTCCCCTTCCTTCGTATGCCTGGAGGAGACAGGTTACTTTAAGAGTCTTTGGTCTAGTCCTGCAAAAATTCCCTCAATTTGTGTGCTTCACTATCATTTTACATTTAACAGGACAGAAAATGAAGAATTATTTATTTTATGCCCCCTCTCTCTGCTCTCCATCTCCCCCCCCCCCCCCCCCCCCCCCCCCCCCCCCCCCCCCCCCCCCCCCCCCCCCCCTCAACCCAAGATATTACACATAACATTAAGAGAATAAAACTGCCCTTTGGTGTGTCTGACATAGTTGTATTGGCAGTTGTCTATTTTTCAAGTTAGGAACATTGGATTTTCCAACTCTGCCTTTTTATGAAATAACACTATCCAGATTTTAAGCCTCCAGGTTTGTTGTGTTTTCAGGCAAAACTGAAGGGTGAGACCTAGATTGGAGGATGGCTCCAACTGCAAGGGTAAAAGGAGAGAAGAAGAAGCTTGCCACCAATGATGTGGTTACTAGAGAGTATACAATTCACCTTCACAAAAGACTTCATGGAATGTAAGATTATTATATAGCTGTGGTTTATAGTTTCTTGGTTCATCTAGGTTAGGTGAACATAGGTTACATAGATAACATAGGTTAGATGAACCAAGTAACCTAAGTATGTTAGTCTAGTGATATTAATTTCTTTGGCATCAGGATTCATGAGTGAAGTGAGATTTTCTTGCTATTGCAATGCATTATACTCTTGATAACAGTAAATATCATAGCACTTGTCTGATGATTGCCCCTCATTTTTCTATAGCTGTGCGTAAAACACTTGCTGCTTTTTTGCAGTGGATCAGGAGTGTGAGCCAGGTTTCCTTTACCTTGGAATTTTCATAATAGAGTTAGCATGCAAAAGTCAGAACATTTGAATGAGCTATATAGGCCTACATCAGGTGTTTTGTATTGCTGTGATTTTTTTATCAATTTTCCTATGTGTATTTGTCATTTCATGCATAATAATTGGGAAGAAGAAATCTTTGAGAAGCAGTACTGAGAGAATCTTGATACATTGGTAGTGATGATGAGACTTTTGAGGTTATCTGCATATTTGAGCACTGCTATCCATTTAGCTTCATTTATATGAGCCCCTAATGTCTTGCTGATGACACAGTACTCTTCTAAAGCCTAAAGCAAAATAATCCATATAAAAATATCAAGAATGCTCAAATGGTTTTTAATTTGTGCAGAGGTTTCAAGAAGAGGGCTCCACGTGCCATCAAGGAGATCCGGAAGTTTGCAGAGCAGCAGATGGGTACAGCAGATGTGAGGATAGACACCCGCCTCAACAAGCAAGTCTGGTCCAAGGGAATTAGGTGAATTCAGACTACCCCTTTTGATGCTCAAAATCCATTTGAATGCCTTCACCATAGAAACAAGGTTGCTGTTGGTGTGATTGAAGGACTAGGGCAAAAGTAGCTTCTTATTTGAAATGGAGTAATCTTGACAATTTCATTAAGTGCCATGTATTTAGAGCCTAATGTCTTTCATATCAACCAGGAAGTCTTTTCTTAGAAGAAAGTTAGGCTCTCTCAATATGACTCAGTCATGCAAAGCCTTTTCTCTCTAGTTACAGTATTAAACCTTGTCACAAGTTTTATCTTTCAACTCCAGAGTTCATATATATTTTTTAATTCTTGGGAACTTTTATCCTCTGTATCTGTATCCAAAAAAATCACATCAGCCAATGAAATATAACTATACATTGCTACAGATATATGATCAATATCAGTTGAGAGAGGCTGATGATATCAATGCAGTCAAAAAAATGAGTTTGATGCCTAGCACTGTCTTCAGCATAGCCATTTGATTTCTCATCATTTAAAAATTAGATCCTAAGTGGTTTCTCTGAACCTTTACATGCCAAGCATTTCCATATTCAACTAGAGCATGCTGGCAGAAAAATCCTAATTTTGCCATATTCAAAGAGCATGGAATCTTCCTTCAAATATGGCAAAATTTACATTTTCCACTTTCATGCTCTGTTTGAATTTTGAAACATTTGGCATCTAAAGGTTAATCCCCCTATTGATACCACCAACATAATTTTATTTCATCTTTCATTCAAGATATTGTTTCTTATAGTCCATAAAGATATGCATAAAGAAGCAAATAAACTGTTCCATTGATTCATAACTTCAACATCTAGAACACCTATGTATCTATCCAGTTTGTTTACCCCCACTTTCATTGTAAGATGATAGCTGAAAGAAACCTTTTCCCTGATTACCCTACTATTCTTTTTGAATAGATGTGGACAATTTTCAAGCTGTTTTATTTGGGTGAAATGCATGCCAAAAACTTTTTTTCACTGGCAGATGGAAATGTAAATATCCATTCTCCATATGGAAGAGGCATTGGCATCTCCAAATGCCAATGCCAGTGAAAGGGTTGAGATCTCAAGGATTTTAATTTCTAAATATGTTCACTGTGGGAAAGACAACCATGACAGCAAGGCTGCACGTGGCATTGGAAACAGGTGCAAGGCAAACTCATGAAATGCTAAACCTGGCTACTGTCTCGATCATATTCGTCTCCCAATCTCATTGTTTCCTGCCATTCCAATGCTACTTTTATCTGAATAAGTGCACGGATGCTTTGTTTCATACTAGGTAGGTCTACACTCTTATTTCAGTCAACTTTGAATCTGGATCTCACTGGCTTTGATTTGATTCATTATCAGTTTTTAATTTTCTTTTCTATCTTATCAGGAATGTTCCGTTCCGGATTCGTGTGAGACTGTCCAGACGAAGAAATGAGGATGAGGACTCTCCACACAAACTGTACACTCTGGTAACTCATGTTGCTGTTACAACCTTCAAGGGTCTCCAGACAGAGAACGTGGATACTAGCGATGAATAAAATGGCTATTGATCATCTGAAGTGGGAACTTTTCCTTCTTGTTTGCTTTGTCCTCCTTGCACAAAGTCAGACACTCTTATGAACAGTGGTACTTTTGCCACACTGCTGAGCATAAGCATTCATATAACCATCTAGGACAAGATTTCAACACAATTGGACCAGCTGGAACAGCCACCCATTCCTGTTTTCAATGGATGTTCATGCCTCCACTACACTGAAGCAGAAGGAAATCTGCTCTATATTAATTCTCCAATTTATGTTCAACTCAGTTGAGTGACCTCACCAAGAATTAGAACTCAAAATTTCCCTGTCAACTTTCACTCCCAGAGAAAGTAGACAATGGAAAGTTTAAGGAATGGATCTTGGGATCTTAGAATTATAGATGTAGGAATTATAGATGCTCTTAACCAGGATTCTTTTCTAGGTGGGCCTCCTTTCCTGAAAGGAAAGAGATCACTTATGGTCCCATCTGTGCATCCAACGATAACTAAGAAAATATTGGCCTGATCACTTTTAAAATTGGCAAGCAGGTAGCATGGAGAAGATACAGGCTGAGTTCATTCTGTGGAATATTTGCACCAAAATTGGCTTTTTTATTGCAAATTTTGGATTTGAAACTTTGTCATGGAGGGAAGCTATAAGTATCTGAGAGCCCTTCAGGATTTAGACCACAATGTGCATGTGCATATGACCCAGGCCTTGGGCGTGGTGCCATGTCAGCAACTAGAGCTGTTGGTTCCCTACCAACCTTTGTGACAGATTTATCAAACCATGTGCAACCCTCCATTTCATGGGCGCCATGGGTAGATTTGCCAATTATAACTAAAAAATTAGACTTTTGATGGTTGAGGACCCAAAAGAGATGGAATTTTTTTTCAATTAGGTGACAAAATGAAGGTCTCCTTAAATGAAAGGAGGTCCACTACTGGACTGGGCTTGCCCATCTTGTTTTTTTTTTTTACAATGACAAGATTAAGTGCAAAACTCAAAATCCAATGCCATGTCAGCATGAAAAAGCCTTTCTGGCTTAGATTTGAGACCTCAGTTCATCAACTACTCTTGAATGAGGATCCTCTTCTCAAATCCCAAATGTGGTGATGAAACCGAAGTGAAGGCCCCCATATCCTGCTCTGGAATTGTGTTGGTAGGGGTGAGGGTGTTTTTTCAAATTGGTCCAATATGATTTTAATTTTTCTCTGCAAATGATACTTGATGACTCAGACAAGGCTGTAAACAGAAGACCACATGAGATACCAAGAATAAATTTCCAGGATATTGCAACAAAAAAAAATTGTAAATTGTTTTTAAAATACTACAATGCATCATTCAGGATGCAAGTAACTTTTCTTTCCTGTATAATTTCACATCAGCAATTGTGGCTATCTACATCTGCCTAAGGGACAAGTTCCAATTGTGTGTGGAAGAAGTAAATGGCCAACCAAGTATGCTGACTTAATCATTTGACTCTTACATTGATTCTATAAGCAACCAATTTCCTTTAAATTTCTAAATAACCATCTATACAGATCTAAAAAAAAACAACACCTAGTAAACACGTGTTTATTTTTGTTTTTTATTTCATATTTATCTGTTAAGTTTTGAATGAGTTAATCAGAAACAGTAATAAAAAGTAAAGTTTACTAGGTAATTTTAGATCATCCTGTACATCTAGGAAAATTTTCCTCGTAAGTATTTCTTCTGATAACATGAATTTGGAACTTTCCCTGTTACTGGGTATATCATATGAAAAAAATTTCCCTTTTAAATCCAAGCATAAGACCAATATGAAATCAAGTGATCATTTGCTCTCATTCATTCAGTATCTTGAATCTGCAAGAAAGTATATACAGTGGAGTCATCCTGATCATTGGTGATTTTTCTGCATTTGTTAAGAAAATGTATTTAGCCCTTTCAGACCTGAATTAAGGCTGCTTTTGGAATAATATATATTTTTGCATTTTTGAGCTCTTTCATGATTGTTATTGAAATTTTCATGCTTTATATGTAGTTTTCATATTTTGTATAAATTTACCATGTATCATATATTAAATATTATACATTTAATTAAATAACTGAAGATCACAAAACTAATGGGTGAAAGAAGGCCTCTGATAGAACTGAGCTATGCATAATTGCTCCCATTGTAGCATAATATGGAGCGCAAAATCACAAGAATCAAGAAATTGCCATAGACACAATGCAAATGCAATGTCCGTTGGAATGGATGCTGGGTCTGAAGGGGTTAAAGTGTGATGTGCAAAAAATGCATGTAATTTAGGCTTACAGGCTGCCCCAGCTTTATTTGGCAATTTTTGATTCAGAATATTTCACCTTTTTACTACTTCTTTCAGAATCTATTGTGCTCCATCTTCCATCCTTGATTCTAAAGAATAGCCCTGCACCTTAATTTATACTCTACCAGAGCTTTTATGGAGCACAGAAATGCACAATTTCTTCTGTTCTTCACTGATAGCTTTCCAAAAAGTCCACCTCAAAATTTTCCAGCACTGATTCACAAGGGCACGCTTCAGGAACCCAAGCTCACAGAAATCCAAAACCTGATTAGATTTAGAAAACCCTGTTTTTTGCAGTAAATACAGGGTGGGCCAAAAAAAAACAAAGCTGTTACTTTTAGTGAATCGTCAATCTCTTTGTAGGCTGCCGATTCTGAATAAAATTGGTAGGCTTATAGGGTGAAACAATTGGAAGTTTTTATACAAAATGTCAGCCTTCTGACTCTAAAAATTATAGGAGCTGTAATTATTTCCTGATGACCAGTGACAAAATGTGCTGTTGAAAATATTGATATGAACTTGGGGCCGGGATGAAAGGGAGGATCGAATTCATGACCTTCCATCCCTGCATGGTGCTATAAAGGAAAATTGGGAAGCCCTGCCTCAAAGGTTTATTGACCAAGCCATTGATCTGTGATGTCCCAGATTAGAGGCTAGTGTTCAATAGAATGGAGGACACATTGAGCACCTTTTCAATTGAAATGAACATCCCTAAGCCAAATTGTGTGCTTTCATTTTTGACATTTGTACATTTTGTTTTTGTTCTGTTTGTTTTATTGTTTTTGTCAGTTGTGAACAATTTTAAGCTGAAAAAAAAATGAACACTTACTTTTTTGGTGATGAAAAGTAAATTTAATTCCAATCTCACAGTTTGTGGAATTTTTTTTTTAAACTTGGTGAACAAACCCTAATTGAGTCACCCTATGTGCCTACCAAATTTCATCAGCATCGGCAACCTATAATCAGATTGACAACTTACGAAAAGTGATAGCTTTGCTTTTTTTTTGGCACACCCTGTATATTGGTTCTTTCCACAAACAAAAAGGTAAAACCACATTTCATCAAGCATCATAATTTGCCTGTACCTTTCATCGGCCAGGTGGTGCTGGTATAATTGTCAGGTTTTGTATTCCACTCCCTGATCTTTTTTGGGCTGACAACATGGACTTTGACCTTGTGTTTTCCTTACATTTTAAGATTCTCATGAATGATCCTTCTGATAGTTCCCTTGAACAGCAGCAGTCAATATGCAAGTAATCTCTTGCTTAGCAGATTTTCCAAGTTCACAAAATGAGTAACTTTAGACAGAAGCTTCTTGTAACATACCGGTCTTCAGTTAGGCTTTATGTCTTAAATTCATGCATCTCATTCCATTACAAATGATGATATTTGAGACTGTTCCTTTAGAAACGCTGCATCCTCTCATGAAACATGCAAATTTTCATTTTGTGAGAGCAACCTTTCATGGAAAGACATTTTTTGCACATCTCCATAGCAGTCAACAGGCACCATTAAATGTCAATGCAATGACCCCATATTTCACATGACAAAAGTTGCCTTTTTGCTTAAGAATCATGAGTCACACAATAGCTATTTATCCTTTCCCCCCATGAGTAAATGCATTTTGAAAATGGTCAAATAAAGCTGTGACAGCCTCTGTACAATGTTGTTCAAAAATATCAATTATCCAAGGTGCTCTTGATCCCATTCAGCTCAGGTTATCAAGACTTGACTGTATGTATACATTTGGATTCAATTAAACAAATTATGAACTTGGTTTCACATCAGAAAATATTTTAGATAAAATTTTAAATAAGCAGAAATTCTAAAATTTCTGCAAAGAAAATTAGAAAGTCTTGTACACATGTTTAAACATTACATATTCAACTTATCTTTCCAAGATGAATATATTTGCTATTGAAATCATGTTCATACAACTAATAGTTTGTGTACTAAAAGGCTTTGAAGCTCAGTCATGAAGAGTTCCCAGGGAGCTTGGAGGACTGCATGTAGAGAATTCGGAGAGAATTGTAAGGAATTCGAGATCGAAGGATACGACATCTTGCGGAAGGATCGGCTCGGCAGAAAGGGGGGAGGAGTCGTGTTGTACGCTAAAACCGAACTGGGCGTTCGCGTCAGAGAAGATCTCACTTCGGCTAACTGTGGAGCAATCGAACACTTATGGTGCGAGATCGGTGGGGCAACTGGAAAGATCGTGATAGGAATTTGCTATAGGCCCCCTAACTCTTCTCTCGAGGATGAAGCA